GACACGGCCATTGCATATGCACTGCTGATGAGCTCTAATACGAGCGAAACTGGACTCTAGTGCTTCGCCCCCATCTTTGGTGTGGATTCACCAGAATAATTGCGCCAGGACAGAAGGACGGCTGTTCAGACGAGGTGATGTGAATGTGAACCGTCCAGTACAATCACAAGTGGTTAGCCTCTAAGGGGGGACGTGGGCCTGGTTCACCAAATCTATTCGGGTTTTTATTGGTATTGGGCAGCGTTTCAGAATATTTTTCCGCCTTATTTCACCAGTGTCAGTCAGGATCGTATGAAATCAAATTCCAACGAATGAACTCACTTTGTTCAAGCTCGTACGTATCACCATAGGGGATTCGTGCAGCATCAGCTGAAATGCAAACGAATGCGGCAGTCCGTGAATTGCACCCTCAGAACTTTTATTCGCATTGTCTTTGAGGCAAGCAGCTTCAGATCACTGTGATCACCACTTGTATGTAATGAACCCCAACAATGGAGAATACAGGTGTGAGAGAAGTCCGTACTTCTAAAGCTGTATTTCAATTACTCAACAAAAGGATGGGTGCAAAACTCGCTCCATTGCATTGCATTTTACTCGTACACCAAATATGAATGAGCTAGCTCCGAGAAACCCTTGACTCATATGTTCAAGAAAGTAGGTGATTGATTTCTATTCCATTTCAGACATCTTTGAGCAGGTGGGCAAAACGGTCGGTGGATTATGCTAACTGATTTGCCAACGGACGGGCAATACAAAGACGTAAATCTGTGTGGCCACAGCCACAGTGATTCAGCTGAATGCCTCTTCATGTTGATTGGTCAGAGTCCCGAAAAGCTCACTCAAGCGGGGAGTGATCTTTCAGTATCCCAACCTCAGGTTCTTGATAAGGCAATCGGTCAAGTAAGCACTAGGTTACCACGATAATTCAGTAGCGGAAGATGACCGGTGGCTAACAATGTGCCTTACATCATTGAAATCAGGTTATGACAACCAGGAAACAAATGTTTCTGTCCATAAAAGCACCGTTTCTAAGCTGAGATGGAGTGGGAGGCCGAACCTAACCAATAAATGATTGTTGAAAACACCAAAAATCATTAGATTTCGTCGCATTGTNTTTCATCGCATTGTAACCGTAACTGACGTTTCCTGGGAACAGAATGACCATTTTAGAGGAGGCATCCACAGAGTCGGCTAATTACGACATACTTGTAGCGTAGTGGAAATACGTCTAAAAACACTGGGTTAAGAGGGAGCATACTATATGAAAATTTCCAAGTTTACCTGAACCTGATCGTCCAACAGATTGAAGAGCCCTGGTTTGTCCGCGACTCCGCAAGCTTTCGCTGGCTGCCATTCGACCTGTTGCCCGACGGTAGCTTTCTAAAGGAGTAAGTCCAGGAGCCCCAGATGGTATCCTGGCTTGTGCTTCTTGTCTAGCCAATCCAGCGCGTCGTTGTCTCAGCGCCCGCAGCTCTTCGAACAGTCGTCGTTCTTGGTCACTCAGAAGAACTCGTGTTCGCTGGAGTTCATCCCTTCTTCTCTGTTCTGCCAGCAGTTGAGGATCCGACAGGAACTCCCCGGTTTGTAAGCCAGTATCAGCAGCCAACAGGGTCTGAATTCTTGCCGCTGTAGAAGGCTGTAGAGACATTGAGGTCCGGGCTGCCAAAAGCTCGAGATATAATCGCTCCAGTTCTGAATCAAGAAGGGGTGGTTGTTGTTGTTGCGCGGTGACATTTTGTAGCGAACCTAAGCAGGTGAGAAGTGTAAAAATGGCTCGCTCATTCAGCAGTTCTTCTTGGTAGATAAACTGGCAAGAATAAAACGTCCTTATCTTGCTTTAAGAGCACATCCTGTATGGTCCAACATGACTGATGAAGACCGGCACGGTTAAAGGGTCCTCGTTTGGTTCAACGCATTTCTCAAAGGCAAGCCGATTGAGGCTTGGCAATATGTAACATTAATATTGCTTGAAATCCTATACAGCAGTGACGTTTCCAAGGAGTGCTTCGCAAACTAGACTGTACACACTCCTCAGAAATGTGAGAAAAATCAAGTGGCGGTTCCTTCCAACGACAACAAGCTGTCTCTCAAATTTTGGTATGGATTCTTCTTCATGGTGAAACAATGTCATGTTGCAAGGTAACATGATTCATGTGACTTCACTATGCTAAAACGGATCGTGTTGAACCTTAGGACCAGCCAGATGGAGCATACACTCGGAGAGCGTAAGACCACAGTCTGTCATGTAAATACGCATATCTTATTTTAAGGCAAAACCCAAAGATCTGCAAACATACTGGTTCCATAGCGTCCTTTCTGGCAAACGCAGCTGCAAAATATGGAAAATAAAAGGATATCAACAGCCTCACTGTAGGTACTAAAAGGGCACAATCTGTGATTGGTGAGCCAAGTTGGCCTCAAGGTCCTCACGTGCCTTTTTTGGTGAGACAGAGGGGGTAAAATAACCTGCTCAGCTGTTTCCGATACTCTTGGGCGCGTGTTTTTAGAACGATTTGGCGAACTCCGTAAATCATACTGAATCATTCTGTCGGATTGATCTGGTTGATAGTATCGATCCGGTGAGCAGTGACCACACTGGTCACGTGCCCTGTTTCACTCAAATTGCTTGGTTCAGGCTCACGAATTCTCTCGGACAGACACATAATCATGCAACCACATAAAATTTCTCAACACTAGCCATAAACAAGTCACGGACCGGCAATTTTCTCCTTGAGGTTGGTGCAGATCAGTAGACCCCACTAAAATTGACCCCCACTAATTGACCTGTATTGAATGTCACTTTCAAGGCAGCGGTCAGGGGACCGGTTAGCTTTTCGGAGCTATGTCACTTTGGTATTGGTTTGGCACTCGCTCTTAGGATAGAAATGTCCACTTACAAAATGGTCAGGATTTTGACTACGGCCGGTGCAGATTCTACAGGTGCTGGGGTCCAGATATTTCATCAGGTTCTTCTTATAAATCATATCCAAAAAGCATTATATTTTTGGACCATGTATGTCTCCGGTGTATGGCCTTGAAAGTGATCTGTCTTGACACCTAGTAAGTTTTCCATTTTCCAACCGAACTAAGATCACTTCACCCAGTTCCCATAAATTCTGGCTTGAAACTGTAAATTATGATGGACCACGCTTCAAATGTTTCTTCAACACAGACCCAAGAGGTTCAATAAACGGCTGTCCCACCTTTTTCAATGGTAAGTCTACTTGTTTACAGTGAAATTGGTTGCTTGTGGGGGGGGGGAGGCGTTATTCCTTTTTTAAGTCTTACAACGAAGCCCAAAGTATTACTCCACTAGCCTCAGTGTTTCATTGTATTAAGGTTATCATTACTCAGAGGTGGGTAGTTTATTAGTTGCTTGCTTGGCCGGCAAAATGCGTCGCCCATTTCTCGTCTTCGTCAACTCATCTGTTCAACTAAAACCAATGAAGCTGTTCTTCTTTAATAGTCTTTGTCCGCGAGGGCAAGGAAATTAACCCCACCGGGACAGAAAGAGGGATGTACAAAAAGGAGTAAAATGAGTGCATATTCCGCAAATCCCATAATTACTTAAAACTAAGCAAACATTTGTAATGTACTACTCATAAGGTTGCCGAAAATTTGTCGAATGAAATATGAAGTGGCCTGGTGCAGCACATTCCGTTGTCTGGAAACGAGAGATTCAGCTGGGTTCCAGGTGAGTTTCTCGAAAAACCAAATTAGTTTGCAAATGAGTGTATGTTCGCTAAGCAAAAATTTGTTCAGCATGTTTCAAGTGTTTGGTAGCGCGACCTGACTCGGAAGTTCCGACAGGCAAGTAAACAAGAACGGACATCAGGTAAACCAATCACAATCAAGCGTAAAAGCATTCATCCGGTCAAATGGGGTGTTTGTGTAACGGTGGTCAACGCTGGTTCTGGATTTTAAAGGTCTAGAAATCAAACATCCACTGCTATCGAGAATTCGCACTGCTGATGGACTCTACTGAGATCGAAACCGTAGTCCAATCCTACCGGGATTTCGTATGGATCAAGAGGAGCGATTGCGCCAGTCAGGGATGAGGACTTTTCGAAGGAATTCTCGTTCAGCTGTAGCACCCTTTCGATGCCTAACTGCCACGTCACACGAGGGAGGCACGAGGGATGGGATACTGCCAGGTTGCCCGAGCCTAGACAGGGGAATTCGAGAGGCAGAGGTCAGGTTCGAACCAAGGACCTTCCGGTCAGTAAATTCGCGCTCTAACCACTTGGTCCATCTCGCCCCAAGGAATTCTACAAATCCCGCAACGGCGATTCACACCAGCCTGTTGGATAGATAAACTGCAAGTTTTGCTCAGGATTGCATTGTCATTGGAAAGGCCGGGTTTGAACTTTGGAAATCTAGCATGTGAGACGAGCATGTGACCAATAGTCCACCAGAGCACGCCAGCCGCGGCTGAATTATCACGTTTGAGCAGGCGAGTGTACTTGAGTGATGTGATTGGTTAAGCCGACGCATCGGACGACTGTCCTGATTGGGTCGATTGTTTGATCCTGTTTGACTCCTGAAGCCAGCTGGACAACTTTTGATTGGCTTTAGTTGGTCCTCGTGAAGGCTCTACTGACGAATACAGACGGATGATTTGCTCTCCGTGTTTAGCTGACAGCTTTCTTTTAACAGCACCGGGCGTGAGTTGTCACAATCACAAAATTGATCGTTGATTTGTTTGCTAAGCTGAGTAGATCAACTCCTAGCAGTGTTCTCTTTATTAGGAGAAGTCACTCACCATCGTGTAGCATGCTATCAAAAACTCTGTAAAACTATAAACGACCTATCCAAAGTGGCGGGACGCTAGCATTCGCTCTTGGATGACCTACCTACTCCAGGCCTTGCCTGAGTCGGCAGATAGGCCAATCCTTGTGGAGTGTACTGGAGAGTGGGAGCCAGCGGTGATGGCTGAGCGGCGTACACAGGCACTCTTGGCAATGCAGGCTGTTCGCTGGGTGGCACGCCCATTGTCGCCGTGGGCAGCAGAGCTCTTGCCAAATTGGTCAGCGCAGTTGAAGTGGATAGGCCAGAAAGAAGTTGAGCAGCGTTGTTAGCAGATCCAGGAGGCACCTGATAGAAAGCATACGGAAATCTAATGAGGAACGTAGGGTGATCGCATGTATTGATCCTGTATGAAAACAGAAAACCTAAATAATAGGCGTGATGAATTGGCATGATCAAAACTTATGAAGAACAAATGCAGTGTCAAAAAAACACTCTATTGCGGACGAGAACTTAGATGCGTGGAGGAAAATATTTGATTAGTCTGTAAGGCCTTCAAACATGATTTTGAGTTGCAGTCTGGTTTCTGACAAGTGCGGTGGTACAATATTTGGAAACTTTTGCTTGCTTTCGAGTGCACCCGGAATAGATAAACTCCATTAGTCAGAAAAATAGCATCTTTGTGTTGTAACAGTTTCGATATGAAAATGACTCATTCGGTTTCATAGGCACTCCACATGGTCTGATTGTTCATTTGCTGTGAAAAGCCGCTCTTTGAAAGAATGTGGTAGGTGTCTTCAAAACTTTCTGTTAAGGGACGAAGATTGTTAGCCTTCCATCGGGATACCCGAGCCATCATTTTGCTATTTGATTTGTAGGTATTGCAGCTAGTGCCATGACAGCGGGCTGAAGTGATTGATGCTCCCGGTCGGTTTTAATTGCGGCTTCAGTCATATTGTGTCAAGAGGGATAGAGGATAGTGTATTGACATCCGGTAAGCCAGAATTAGGAGTCAGGGTGCGCAATGACGCGAACCACATTGAGGAGAGAGTCAGCCGCGACAAAGGAATATGAAATACGGATCTTTCGAGAACTAATACCATCTACACTTGTCTCGGAGTCAACTAGTTCACTTCTGTGAATCCATGTGAGTGTGATTTCGCACTGTTTGTGCTCCATAGACTATGCACAACCTCCCTACAGCAGCAAGCCTATTTTCTTTTCCTTTTGTTATATCTGCTGATTCGTCAATCTGTGGTATGTGCTGCTGACCCGCTCCAGTGCCTAATGCCGGAGAAAAAAGACTCACAGAAGGGAACACAACCGCTATATTCTGAACAAGCGAGTGAGAGAGCGTGAGTGCATGCGAGTGCGAAAATACAACTGCATCAAGCTATTTATTGGAGGGACAATGTCTGAACTTGGTCCAATGCTGACGCACGCGGTGTGGCTTTGGTACGAGGTTGTGACGCGCTGCATATTGAGGGGGTGTTGTCTGTCCGGTTAACATCTAGCGGAGCTGAGAGTCTCGGTAGATTTCGGGCACTCAGTGGTTGCTTTCAGGAAGCTGACCTTCCTGTTAGTCTCAAATCAGGAAATCACTTTCTATAACTTTTGTTCCTCCATATTTCACGGTAAATTTCAAACCTGATCATGATCGACCAAGATTGGACAAGATTATTCGCTATCGTCTAAACGAACCACTTCTGCTTTTGATTCGGACTGCTTCATGTTGCTACCGGGAGATCCCACCAGAGCAACGACAATTACCCCACTAACCCGGCTGTGGGACAAGATCTCATAGGCATTCCAACCAATAAGAAGCCATCCAGAAGAGGGGCTTTATTGCGTGGTGTCCTCTATTAAGGCGGACCGCTGTGACATATGAAGGGTAGACCGTTTGTATGGTTCACATCACTTTCGAGTGAATCATGCCTGATTTTTACAATAAGTTAAAGTACGATCTTTTCGTGAAATTCTTCACCTTGTCACTTCTACCCAAGCCCCCAAATTCGTTCCGCGTTACCAGTATTTCCTCGCTAGAATATGTACGTATCATTCGTTTTAATGCCCAAAGGTTTCAAACAATTGCATCCAGGGTGATTCTCTCGAATTTTTGGATGCCGGCTCAACGCTGAATCTTTGCGTCCACTGAGCCCTTAGAATTTCGTCGGACAAGCAATACTGTCAAAGGAGTCAACACAAGATACAGTATAATCTTGGAATTTCTTACTTCAGCTTCTAATTTGGTATTTTTTGAAGAAATACAAGTGGAACGGAAAAAATGTACCTTCCAAAGAGATGCCATTTTTTCTACAGGATCCGTAGTGTTGATCCGGGTTAGTTGCGGTTGAGTACACAATCCATTTATAGAAGTTCCTTTTGAGGTCGATACAGATTTGTTAAAAAAATAATGGTCCAGCTGTAGCACTCTTTCGGTGCCTAGCTGCCATGCCACACGAAGGAGGCACGAGGGCTGGGATACTGCCGGGTTGCCCAAGCCTAGACAGAGGAAGTCGAGTGGCAGAGGTCGGGTTCGAACCGCGAACCTTCCGGTCAGTAAATTCGCTCTCTAGCCACTTGGTCCATCTCAACAGAGGACTACTTCGGCGAAGTACGCTGATTTACACGCGCATTTAGTTTTGAAGAAACACTCAAGTGGATTCACCCGGATGACTGCGCACATTTTGTGTTCACGTAGAACTCAGTCAACGGGAACTCGTGGACTGGTCCTGCCCTAACAAGGACAAAACTTTTGTGGGCCTTGATGAGACCGTGATTAGTATATCTCAGGAAGGAGTGCTTCTTTTTCGTCTCTTTGCGGCCTTGTTAAACGTTAAGAATACTCAACAAGCCTTGTCGTCGTTTCGGTTCTAAAGTTAAGTGTTTTCGAGAGAATGAGGTGCTTTCTCCGGACATCCCAATGTGTCAAAAAAAAAACAGATCGCCTAGTCAGAGTGGTTCGTAACCTTTTGTCCGTGAAAGGCACAAGGAGTGACTTACCGAGTCTACCAAAACCCATGACAGAGTTTAGACGATATCCACAATGTCATCCGTGGAATACAAATGTATGGATTTAGATATGAGTTTCGATTGAAGGGGGGCATGGATGGCGTTTGAGTACTCATACTAAGCACCTTATATTGTTCGTAATGTGGCTTACATGATCGAAGTATAACCTTGACAAATAGAGTCCACGCCCCCAGTAACATGCACTGAAGGAAATGAAGTAACAAGAAATGTCACCAAGAGAGACCGGATTCCTCTATTATTGTTTATGTTCTAGTTAAAACGGTTGCAGATTCGTGGACAATTCCAAATATTCGACAAAGATCGGCCTTGCAAACGAATAAATCTTCCAAACGGAAGCAAGTTTCCGGGTGGTCGCAACGTTTAGGCAAAAGCAACTATCTCAGAACTATTAACTACATTGTGACTGAAACTCGGCCAGCCAACTTCCAGATTTGTATTTTCACCGTGATTGTCGTTCTAACTAACACGCGGTTTCAGCTTGTGACTCGAATGATCAAAAAGGCGCATTACATGCTTGCTTTTGTAAGCGGAGCTTATGTCGTAAGCACGCATTTGCACAAAGTGTTTTTTTTACCGCTCCGTTGCGACGCCCATTGTGGCGCTAAGTCGGTCTAACGCTGCATGGAACACGGTCGAACCTGCGTACTGTACCGCGCATATAGTGTGCAGAGATACCGGTGCAAAGCGCCACACAACGGAGTTTTTAGTTCTGTTTCGTAAAGTCCTCTTTTATCCTTCCTGTCGTCCTTTGTTGAAAAAGAGAAATCCCGAGGACCTATTTCACCAGTTCGAACTATATGTGGTCGCGACCCCTCCAACAGAACAGTCTCATCATCTCAGCCAGGGATAACTAAGAGGTAAGGGCAAAGAACATCGATTTACTTGATTAAATGGTACCTTGTTGTAACTCAATTCCTCCTTCCATAAAGTCAAACGGAGATCACTCCATGAAGGGTTGATTGAGAAGCTCTGAAGTCCGGCGGTATGGTCATTCGTTACAATCTGGCTTGCGGCGCCAAGCATGTTACGCCCCAGTGAGAAACCAAAGCACAAACTAATGAAGTGCATAGCAGGATAACTAACAATAACTTATTTACATCAAAAGCACCGACAGTATGCACGGATTGCCTACTACTTACCTGAGGGTATTGCAGCCCGGGAAATGCAGCTGGCTGTCGCTGCTGTTGAGCTATAGCTCTCTGTACAAGGGTTAACAAATTGAGTAGATTGGTCCCAGTAGGTCGTTGAACGGTTGCGTACAAGGTACTATCAATCGGAACTGAGAGGAAGCAAAGAACGGAGGGATGTATGCATAGTGCGGAGCAGAATAACCTGGAATTTGCGTGTACCAAAGCTTGAAAATGTAAAAAACAAGTATCGTGAAAGTGTATGGTTTATTCGGTTAGGGAGTTTTTAAACGTTGCTTTTTTCTTACCATAACCAAATGATCATTTTGTTCGCTACGACGTACACAGTGTTCTCTGGATAAGTTCCAGAAGGGGGGAGGGCGAACTGACCGACCTGGTTTTACATTGTACCCCGCGGTTAGTGTAGCCGTGAAATGACGGCGTCAATCAATACGTATTAATGTCAAACTGTCCCAGGCAGATGCTGAATGCGATTCATACCACAGCAACACATAAAACGGACGATAGATCCACAATTCAACACCAGATAAATGGTCGGTTTTCTGGGAAGGGCAACAAGCACTCAAAAGTGACTTCAACGTTGAACAAACTGAATGGGTGACTCGAATAAAGGGCCTCAAAAAGAGACAAATGACGGGGGAAAGCTTGGAAACGTATGGACATACCCATGCCAGATACTCTGATTCTGTTTCTCAAGGTCTTTGCGCATGATGACTTATTCTTGATAACGATGAAATTGGCAGTTCAATATTTAGTGTATATAGTCGTTGTCCAACTGACCAAAGTACTTGAAGAAACCAGAACAAAAGGATTCCCACTTGAAGTATAACCCAAGAGATTACCCAAATCCCTTTCTCTCTGAAGACTATTGTCTCTTGAGGATATCCTCCACATACAGGAGGCACCTATATATGTCTAATGCACAAAAACCTCTGGACTTTGCAGGACACAACTTTTCAGGTTGTGTCACTTCATTGCCCTGGTTCGAGTCAGACATTAGAGGATTAGAGATCCCATCGCAGTTCATACGAACAGCTTTACCGTTCCAAAATGATTTTAGCATTTCACTATGAGCACGCAGCCAGGTCCGTTCTGTCCACTTGTCATGATTCTTCAGTTCGAAACCTCAGTGTGAAATGTAATCATGGTATCTTTTCCCGACAAGGAACCAGGAGTTTGTAATACACTACACATAAGGTTGCTGAAAACTCCTCGACAGCCCACGACCGGTTTCGCCCTATTTGGGGGGCTCATCAGGTAGGCGCAGTCCCGAGTCTCCGTCAACCTTATGTTCTACTTGAAACCAGGAATTTGGTTTTGGGTAAAAATTCGAAGTTATACTGAAACTAAAAAAATGAAAAAAACTTCCAAAGCGATGCACAGCTATTTAGACGGAGGGAATAGTTTTTGTCTGGAATAGAATCTGGATGCTTTTCAGGCCCAATTGTCACATCAAGTTCATTTTGCCTCCTGAGACCCATGAGTTATTCTCCAAATTGTGTGAAATCGGTAAGGGGTAGAATTTTCACTTCTTACGAAAGTGGGAAATTTTCTTCGATAATCACGCTGCTTATTGGCTGTTTGATTGGTCATGACGTAGGCCATTTTACAGGCATTTTAATTTGCCATAATCATGTCTGGCATCTTTGCCAACTTTTGCCATCGGCCTATCGATTTTGTTCTATTCAAATATCAGTGACGAGAGTACCAGTTTCGTAGCCGTGGTAGGTAGGCTTGATCTTTTGATTCAACCTCTTATGGAATCAAACAACCAATCTCAACTTACCATCAAGTACCGACAACTTTGCTCAGGCATGTCGCAATCTCCATACTTGTCTCCCCTTTATGTGGTTGGTCGGTTTGTCGACCAAATAACGATCGATACAGATGATCGCTAGATCGCAT